CTAGATTCGTCGGAAAGTATGTAACAGGCAGAAGGAAGCGTTTCCGACCCCATAAAGTATATATATTCTTGATCAGGATCACTAGCCGAGTCGATCTAGCCATGTCCGTCTGTCCGTCTGTCCGTCTGTCCGTCTGTCCGTCTGTCCGTCTGTCCGTCTGTCCGTCTGTCCGTCTGTCCGTATGAACGCTGAGATCTCGGAAACTATGAGAGTTACAATACTGGGATTAGGCACGCAGATTCCTGAGATTCCTGCGCAGCGCAAGTTTGTTTCAGTAGAGTGCCACGCCCACTCTAACGCCCACAAACCGCCCAAAACTGTGGCTCCTACAGTTTTGATGCTAGATAGAAAATTTTAACTGAAATGTAATGTTCTCATCAATACCTATCGATTGACCCAAAAAAAAATTTGCCACGCCCACTTTAACGCCCACAAACCGCAAAACCCTGTGACGCCCACAATTTTCATGCTAGATAAAAAATTTTAACTGAAATGTATTGGTCTCGTCAATACCTATCGATTGATCCAAAAAAAAATTTGCCACGCCCACTTTAACGCCCACAAACCGCAAAACCCTGTGACGCCCACAATTTTCATGCTAGATAAAAAATTTTAACTGAAATGTATTGGTCTCGTCAATACCTATCGATTGATCCAAAAAAAAATTTGCCACGCCCACTCTAACGCCCATAACGCTTAAATCTGTATACCGCCGGTAGGTGGCGCATTTTAATCTCGCTTTGCTGCTTGCATATCTCCATTTAGCTGAGTAACGGGTATCTGATAGTCGAGGTACTCGACTATAGCGTTCTCCCTTGTTTTATTGTTGAGGATGTGGCCGGTGTGTACGCAATGGTCAACAAAACACTTGACTCGATGTTTGTTGCACAGAAAGAAATATTTATTAATTTAAATCTAATCCAATTGCATATTCAAGTGTGACTTAAAAAATATTAATTTAGATATTAAATTATGAGAGCTGGTTATTGATCGGAATTACAACTTAATTTAGCTTTTCAGTCGAACCATTTCGCATTCTTTTCGCTTTTGTATGGGGGCAAACGGGAAAATTCATGGGATTGGTGCTGAATTCCCTTGTGAGTGGTACCACCACCAATGTTGTGAGCCCCACGCTTGCCGAAATTTCTTACGGGATTCCCGCGTTTTGAATTACTTATCAATAAACCAACGTTCATATAAGATTTATCAAATATCATTTGATATGTTTTTTCCATTAAAAATATTGAATCATCCAATTACCATGGGTATTATGAGCAATTCGATGACAATTATCCTGCCCTTTTTTTCGTGTGTGATGTAACCGGCAAAACTCTGATTTATTTTGACCACGTACATATGCAAAACCCATTCTAATGGAACCGGCGAGCCAGTGTTTCCTCTGCCCATGTTTGGCCATTGTACTTTAGTTGGCAGTTACGCTCTGATTTTTGAGCCTCCACCTGTTATTGTTTGCCTTTGGCTCTGGCTTTGCACGCTTCCCCGATGCTGATGCCCTGCGGTGCGTTGGCAATTGTTGTCATTGCCCAGAAACAGAAACAGAAACGGAAATGCCGCCTTTTGTTGAGCGGAAATGCAAAATGATATTGTTCGCCGGGCGGGCAGTGGCAAGAACCCAAGTTGATATGATTGACTTTGAATGGGTCTCGGGTTGCAATGGATTGCCCTGCAGCTATAGCTATCATTTACCATAGGCCTCACTGACAGACGCAGATGTCATTGGAAAGTACCATCAAGATCCCAACGCCCAAACAGAATGGCAGGTCGCCCACTTGGAAGCCCTCTGTCTCCGATTCGCACTCCCTGTGTGGGCACTTAACAAATGCAGATCCAAACAAGCAATTATGCAAAGCATTCACGTATGTCTGTATATATATCTCTAAAGTTAGATGCTCAGTTAGTACATAGGAATAGGTGTTCAGCCGGTGAGGAAACCGCGAGGTGACCGCAGAGGAGACAGGCTCCGCAGGTTGCACACCACGCGGAGATTGGGCAGGTTCTGAGGATTGCGACAGAAGCGATCCCAGCCCTTCCAGTACTTGAAGCCCTCGCGTTCCTGGATCATCCGGGCACAGGCAATGTCGTCGCCTATATCGTCATTGGAGAAGTCTGGAAATAAACCGAATTTTATGTATAAAACAAGTCATGACGTAAAATCTAATTAACTTCTGATTTAGTTATTTAAGATTAATAATTAAACAATAATATACATATTTTTGTTTACTACGGATGTTTTAAAATGTATACCCGATCTTTTCTTTACCTGCTTTAGATATTAGTATTAAATTAAAAATTAAATAACACATGATTGAAAAAATTTAAATATTTTTGGGACAACATTAAATGCCTCCGGCTTAACTAGTTTAATAAAATCTCGACTTTAAACACCCACGATATTGGATATAACTAGGAAATCTAATAAAGTTAACGGGGTTTAAAGTAAACTACTTAATGATTGTTGTTTTAATATTTGCATATATTTACTTTTATTGTCTATTGTTACTTGGAAAATAGCCTTGAAATACAACTTAAATAAATGACCGCATTTTAGATGACGAAAAGTATGCAAAAATATATTTAAGCTCAGGATTATAATGAATTCATTCAGAAATAAGAATATCCTTTATACACTGTCTACTTTTGTATTTATGATTTAACCACCAGTAACATATTTAAAAAAATAACTATTTTTTACCTTCACATTTCATATTGCACTGTCCTCCCTTTCGTCCTTCGGTGCAATAATCCCTGCTGTTGATCTGGAACAGACCATAGTTCTTGCTTTCGTTCTCCTTCTTCGTTATTTTCCTGGTGTCCAGGTAACTCTCGTGCTCCACCAGGCAGATCCCTGTCCATAATATCTTTTGTAATAAAGTTCTTAAACTCATATGCAAATCACTTACAGTTGGATATAAAAGTTTTATCGAAGTTGTAGTTCTCCACTAGTACGCGGGTTAGTTCGCATCGTTGATATTTCTTGGAATCCACTTGATTTAATCCCAGCAGCAGTAGGATCAGCACTGGTATAAGCCACAAACAAATGGTTTTCATTTTTGGCTGATCTAAAAGTAGACGCCCATCATTTACACTATAAGGTGCTTGGCAAAGTACGATACTCATTATTTATGGACTTACTTAACCATTCACCTGAACAGTTCAAAAAGTTCTGCTTTGCGCATAATTCCCTTATTCTTCTATATGCACTTGCCCGTTTACCAACTTAAGCACCTGATTTCAGCTTGATAAAACATATAAACTACGTTAGATCGCGCACCTAACGATCTTTGAAAGTGTTTAAACACTTCTGCACACTTTTTGGGGAAGATTCTTTAGCAGCTTTTTAGCTTTTCACAGCTTTGCATGCCATTTCTTCTTTTTAACACCAAACAAGAAACTCTGATTTCTGGTTAATTATAAACCCACTAACAAATTACCATTATTTATGCCTTTGCTTACCCCCACGCGATTCAATGGCCTTGTATTATTCTTGTTTTTGCATCTTTGTTTTTTATTATCAGTGTTTATATCAGCCATCCTAACTAAAGATATGTCTATCATGTCTGTCTACCTAAGTTATATGCAAGTACACCCACAATACAATACTTATTGTAAAGGCATTAACTGTTTTAATGTTTAATGGAATACCGGTTAACAATCATAACTTAACATTTTATTATTTTGTTCTTATAGTTCTAGTACTACAATGAAACACTTTAAACAATATATTTAAGTTGTATAGTACGCCTAGTTGATTACGTGTAGTTCAAGCCATAAAAGTGGGAGACTTAACGACTTTCATTTTAAGTAAGCATATCATTTGTATGTAAATAATAAAAGGCAACGGCATGATCTATCCTCCAACAAATACACTTTTCAAGGTCACCGCAAACCGAAAAGCAAATTCATGTTTTTGAGCTCGTTCTTAACGTTCTGAAATTGAGTATACGCACTGTACACGTTTCACTTTTTCTTCAAGATTCGCATGCAAGCGAATGTAATAATGAGATTGGGATTACTTCCTCTGGCAGAACACTTTTACTTGAGCAAACTGTTTGTTCACTTTGTTTACCTAATTAACGCAGAACAACAGCGATCTTGGCAACAGGAAACGAGTTTGTTGGGGGAAGTATGCGAGTATCTGTATCTTCTACCCCGTTTCGTGGGTTTCGTTTTTGCGATGGCGTGCTTTCAAATACATATGATTTGTACAACCGATCGGATTCGGATCCGATGAGAAGCTAGCCCGCCGGTGCGACGCTGCTGACCCGAGTTTAAGTACTGAACGCCCAAGCATTTCTCAGATACAATTGCGACTCAGTTCGCTTTTGAGTAGAGGTAATTCTCTCCCAAAACGCCGATCGCCGAGCACAGCCCATATGAATTTGCTCGGCAGTATGATAAAGCTGATAAGGTGCGCGGTTGTCACGGTTGACTTGCTACCTGAACTCTCTGACAAATCAGATGATTTAGGGTGATTCGGAGAGGGGGAAAGATACTCCCCGGGTTTCGGGTGGGTCTGTAATTCTCAGAAGTTTTTTCGTAATATTTGCTAAAGGTATTACTGTAGTATTCAATTGAATAAGAAAGAGTTCAATGATCCAATCTTATGATCTTTATTTATTTTAAGGTATTTCACGGAACCTTATTTAGCATAAGTTAATGGTTTATGATTACCAACTATATTTAGATTTTCATAAGAATTTTAATGATTCAACTTGGGGTTATTAAGATTATCAAAGTGGGCGAAATTATTTCCCAAGACTTGGTATAAAAAGTAAGAGATAATCTATACAAAAGTGCTTTATAAAGTCATTATTTTTATAATTGCTTTCTTTATTAGCAACATTTATAATTAAAAATTCTTTTCCCCCAAATATATTATAGTTTAATAAAGTGTAAGCCTTATTTTTCCATGCGGGTTTCCAAGAAGTCTATAAAATGAATATTCTATATGATACTTTTAATTTGTCAAAGGTGAGTGATTAGCATTCGGGGAAAAACACAAGCTTTGCAATAGCCTCTGCAACTGATAGCGTGAAAATACTGAAAATATTTTAATCACGCGAAAAATAAATACACATTGTTTCAGACATAGTGACTTAGGCTTTATGTGATGATTTAGTAGCTATGCATAGAGTTAGTTAAGGCTAAGATCGAGTAGAAAAGCAGTCCTAGCAGCGCGAAACATCGGGCAGCGTGCGCCCACGACATTTGCTCATCCATCCGGGCCAGGCCTGAAATCCGTGGCGGTTGAAGATCTGCATGGCACAGCGTGAGTCATCAGAGATCTCGTCATTGAGGAACTCTACAATGGAAGGGGTATTTAAATTCATATTTTTTACGTGGGTGTTTTGGGGAATGTGGACTAACCTTCGCATTTGATGTTGCATATCCCTCCACGACGACCTTTGCGACACCAGTTTTTGCTGTTGATCTGTGAAATTTTTGGGATTAGCATAGACTGGCCCAAGTAGATAGGGAGATATGGCTAACGCACCTGGAAAAGTCCATAGCTGACGCTCTGGTTGGGCAGTTGCATGGACTTTGACGTACTGCGTCCACTCTCAGCCTCCACTAGACAAACCCCTTAAAATAAGAGAAAGGGATTGTATTTGTATTTTTTTTTACAAAATTGTAAGTTATTTTCTTATCTAAATATAAATACATTTGGTATTCACGATATACAACTGGAACTTAAGCTAAGTAGGTCATTATACTCTTTATTGCCTGTAAAACTTTATTAAGGTTCTACTGCAACACAATATAACATGCGTTATATGATTGTTATTATTATTAGCTTTATTTTTATATTGCTTAATGTCCAATAAAATATAAATCCGACATCCTAAAATGCTTCTTTAATTAAAAACTATACAAATTTAAAAATGATATTATATTTTTAGAGTTCCAATATATTCGATATATTTAACTATACTTACAATTGGACAGATAACTGCGGGGAAAGTCGTGACGCAACAGCTCCTTGGCCAACTGGCAACGCGTCAGCAGCTTGGACTCCGTCTCCCATTGCGAAAGCAGAAGAAGATTAAGAACCAGGACGAGGGCTCCACCTTTGGGCAAGTGGCTGGCCATTTCGTTACAGGGGTATAGATTGATTGGGACCACTGCTAATCCTTTGGTTGGGAGAGATTCTAGAGCGCTTCCCTCCGCGGCAACTGCGAGTACTGGGCACTTTGCTGCGGAATTATTTCTACGGCACTGGATGCGTAGCGCCCGAAATCTGGGTTTTTAAAGCCTCGCACGCAGTTATTGTTTTCTTCTGGAAGTGGGAGGCGGCACTCGGGAGCGGTCTGATGATATGAGGAAAATGTACGGGTTACTCGCCTATAGGGGTGACTCATATATTAAGCAAATGTCTTTTAGATACATTTTTCTCCTAAAATTGGTTTATCTATCTCTAGAAAATATATGATAAGAGATCGTAAAAAGTATATATTATTTTTTTATAGTATCTAAGATAAATAAGATCCCAAGACAAATCTCTCAGTGCATTCAATAAATCGCTTTGATTGCGTTAAGCTCTAAATTGGCAAATTGTCTTGCAGAGATAACAATGGGAATCTTTAGACCGAAACGCATCCACATCCACTGGATGCTGGACACAGATGCACTGCGTGGGTGTTTGTGTGTCAGAGTGTCAGTGACAACTGCGGCTTGACCTAAAAACGCACGATCTGTGGATGTGCGAGGGATGTGGGGGAGTGCCAGAGCAAGTGCATCCCTCCCAGCTTCCAAGTGTTTTCGCTTTTCAATGCTTGTCCGACTAATTTCCATGAAAATTTTTCCATTTACAGCCCAATTCTCATGCTCTCGCTGCTGTGCGCCCTGGCAGCGGCCAGTGACCTCAAGGATCTGCTAGAGGACAGCACCACCACGACCAGCACGAGCACCTCATCCTCGTCATCTCCCTCTCCCTCCCCCTCGCCCACCACGCCCACCGCCTATGTGGTATCCGCAGCAGCAGTTCCCGCCCCTGTTCCCAGGGAAAGGGGAAAGCCCAAGTCCTCATCCGGAAAGTATGTCAACAAGAGCGCTCCGAGGAAACGCAAGGCGGAGCAGGTGTCCTCGTTGCCCCTGCCCGTGGACGACGGCCTCATGGAGTGGAAGTGCCCCAATATCACGGGCACCCGGAACGCGGAACTCGAGTGTGGATGCGATCTGCCACACACACTACGGTGCAATATTGACCTGCACGGGATGTTGGTAAGGCCTTTTTAAAATAAATATATATTATATATTATTATATTAAAAAAAAACCTTTTCCTGCTTTTAAGAACAAATGTTCTCAATTTAAGAACAATGTTCTCAATTCAAAAACAATGTTCTCAATTCAAGAACAATGTTCTTGGACACTTCTTTCTGTGTAGGTATTTTATAAAAAAAATCAAACATATTTATATATGTAACTTTGACCCCGACGTGATTTGAACACGCAACCTTCCGATCTGGAGTCGGACGCGCTACCATTGCGCCACGGAGTCCTTTTAAATCTATATTTCTTCTTTGAACTAATCAATTACTAAAGTTTATAAACTAAAAACGTTTTAGAAAAATTGATAAGATAGGTGCATTCAGCTATGAGATACCCACTTTCTTACCACGTTAGTCTTATAAATAATACAAAAACAATAGCTTGATTATTTTGTTACCTAAAAATAAGTCATCTAATAGAAAGTATTGCGTTCAATACTTAACAGTCAGCCAGATCTAGTTTATTGGTAGATCGTTGGCCCATTCCAAGCAAAAATTATTTGTAGGAATACATTTTTAAGTATATATATCCCTTTACCTTTAAGACCTTTAGGGTTAGGTTAGAATACAAAAAAAGAGTTTAAACTTTCCGTATTTGACCCCGACGTGATTTGAACACGCAACCTTCCGATCTGGAGTCGGACGCGCTACCATTGCGCCACGGAGTCCTGTGAATATTGCACTTCATACTTGTGATCATCAATAAGTAATCTCATAATTTAATTAGCAAACATTTAAAATGGATAAGATAGGTGTAGGATTCAATCAAAGTTAATATAATCAAAGATTACTTAGGCGAACGACCTAGCTATTGAAGTAACTCCTTAACCTTATCCAAACATCATCTTTATAGCTAACTTATCTATATCTATAACTTCTATTTTACAGCTCCTGGCGGACAGACTACGCACCTCTCCGTACTCCATATCTTTGCTGGACTGTTCCTTGCGCAACGTGACCTTCCTGAGCGACGCCAAGATCTTTGATGGCGTTTCGTTGCATGGCCTGGTAATCTCATCGGGTGAGATCAAGCGAGTCCACAAGTCCGCCTTTCTGGGAATCCGCGGACCTCTGCAGGCACTTGGTCTGCCCGGAAACGCCCTGATGAGTGTGCCCTGGAACGCTTTGTCCACGCTGGGAGCCTTAGAGCGCCTTGATTTGGCCAACAACAAAATCAAGGCATTGGGCACCGCAGATTTTGTGGGTTTGACCAGCCTGGTCTATCTGGAGCTGAGCAACAATCAGATCTCAAGCATTTCCCAGCGCACATTCGGGAATCTTAGGAAGCTGGAGGTGCTGAAGCTGGGCGGGAATAGATTGGGTGACTATGCCCAGAGCTTGAGATCACTGAGCCAATGCTTCAGTCTACGCCAATTGGATCTGCAGGCCAACAACCTGAATGGACCACTGAGTGAGCAAACTCTGCCTGGAATGAAGAATCTCGAAAGCTTGAATCTCAATCGGAATCTGATCAAGAGCATACAGAACAAGGCTCTGGCCAACTTCTCGAGGCTGGTGAGCCTCTCCTTGCGCCACAACCAAATCGATGTCCTGCAGGATCACGCCTTCTTCGGCTTGGGAGCTCTGGACAGCCTGGATCTGAGCTACAACGGCATCGTGGCTATCTCCAGTGCCTCGCTGCAGCATTTGTCGCGTCTGACCGTACTGGATCTCACCCATAACTTTTTGCGAGCACTGACCTCCGACTTGATAGCGCCGCTACCATCTCTCAGGGAGTTACGGCTGGCGGGGAATGATATCTCTATTGTGGCCCGGAATGCCATGGACGGAGCTCGGGAACTGGAGAGTCTGCAGATGCAGGAGAACCCTCTTTCCTGCGACTGCAGCATCCGGCCATTTGCCGAGTGGTTGCAGGAGTCCCAGCTCCATTCAAGCCTCAGTGCCTCCTGTGTGACTCCGCCAAGGCTGGAGGGAGCTCCTCTTCTCCAGGTTCCTGTGGAGACACTTAGCTGCGACATGGACAACGTGGAGAAGGATAACAACAACATCATGCAGCACCTGGAGACGCTGGCCAAACCCAATCAGACGTCGCCCATCAAGGATCTTTCCGAGGAGGTGAGGCTTGCTCTTTGTATCTTAAATATCTAAACTGAAAGGATAAAAAATTTAAGATTTTGAAAATACATAATCAATATCTATCCATTTATAATAATTCGGTATTTATTAAAGCAGCAATACCCATTTTTAGATCTTTGTAAAGGTTCCATTCAGAATTCCCGAAGTTTTTCTTATCACAAGTTCAAGGTTTTTTTATTTGTGAGTTTTGCACTTTGGACAAGCACTATATAAAGCATCATAAAGCTCAAAAAAAAATGTCAAAACTGATTCCCCGACTAAAGCAACGACTAAGTAATATATACTATTTATTCAGCAACTTGTATATTTACTATATTAATTATATGATATTTACTCAGCAATTTGTACTATTTACTACTGCTTTTCAAAAACCATTTCAAACTATTATAAAATAATAAAAATACAAAATGTAAAACGAAATTCTCTACCCACAGATTATTCTACATGAGCTGCATTTCTCGGCAGACTATGGCCTGATCCTCACCTGGCTTCTGAATCTTAGCAAGAAAGACTATATGTGTGATGCCATTTTTGTCTACAAGGAGGAGCACATAAACGAGATTCTTATAGACAATTCACCGGTAATTAGCTGAAATAAATTAAACATAAAAAACAATTTTCTGATTCTTTAACATTATCATTTGTAGATCCATTGCGAGAGTAAAGTGGTCAATGGTCAGAACACAGTGAGTGTCATAGTGCCGGACAGTTCATCTTTGGAAATAGGAGAGAGGTTAGATTCCCTTTGTTAAATTACCTGATTAGTTAACTAATGCTAACCATTCCACCATCAGCTATCGCTTTTGTCTGGTGATGATCCAAGAGAAGAAACCCGAAGCGGAACTGAACATCGGCTGCTCCAACATCACCCAGCTGGAGAGGAGCAGTCCGGGCTCCGTTCCCGTGTCCCGTCAATACCAGCGACGTCCCTACTACACGGCCAATGAGCTAAAACCGGAGGCAGCTCACGAAGCTGGTGAGGATTACCAGTTGAATCAACGTCGCTTCAATTCGGTGGTCGGAAGTCAACCGCAACAGACTCAGCAATCGACTCTGCTGCACAGCTACACGGTGATTGATTCGCTGAACAAGAGTTTCTTGCCGGGATTGGGCCTTGGAGTGCTGGTCACCTCCGTGCTGGTCCTGATCTGGGGAGCCACAAGGATTCGGCAGACGGGTGGCAGTGGTAATGGCAATGGAGGTAGCAGGAATAACGATAGTATTGGCAGCAACAGCAGCAGCATGCACAACAATAATAATAACAGCAGGCCGGGAACTCCAACGGCCACCACTTGCTATGCCGCCTCGGATCACATAGCCCGCCTGGCGGATGCGGAGAATGGGACGCGCTACCTCAAGCTGCAGGCAACGACGAGCCTGTGAGGCAGCAGTAGCAACCAGCAGCAGCAGCAGGATGTTGCACCTGCCCACTCAATAAACCATGTGATAGTACGGTTCCGACTGTACCGACTTGAGTAGTTTGTAAGCGATATACATACGTAGCCCTAAGGTCCACTGCACTAATCCAAATAGTTGGCCCACACTAACCCACTCGTGCCATAAGCTAATCGATACGTATCCCGAAACTCCCATATATCAAAAGAATATGTACAGCTGAGGTCAAAAGAATGGCAATAAAATCTATTCTTCAAAATTGTTTAGGATCAGAAGACCGAATATTAAGAATCCAGATAGATAACATAAATCAAAATACCTCTCAATTGTTAAAGCTAAACTATAAACTAATCGTTTCCATTTATTCATTTGACCT